GAAGGAAGGAAGGAAGGAAGGAAGGAAGGAAGGAAGGAAGGAAGGAAGGAAGGAAGGAAGAGGGAGGGAGGGAGGGAGGGAGGGAGGGAGGAAGGAAAGAAAGAAAGAAAGAAAGAAGAGGGAGGGAGGGAGGGAGGGAGGGAAGGAAGGAAGGAAGGAAGGAAGAAAGAAAGAAAGAAAGCAAACATGATATTCAATGATAAAGGATTTATCAAGTACCTTGATAGGAGTGTACCATTTTTCCTGGGAGGGCATTGAGGTAGCCTTTGATTTCGGTGCTCTAGGTAGAACCGGCTCATCTAGTTCCTCAGGGAGTTTCACCACTGCATTCTTCGCTTTCTCTAGCCGGGCTCCTTCCTCAGTTGACCCTTTGTCACCCCAACGGACCTAAAGAAAGCAAGACTCCGTATCAGACTGGCCGTGCACTTCAACACAAGAAGCTTGCTCTTCTTGTCATTCGGAATCCACGTGCCAATAAAGGGGAATACTTGTAACTCAGGGCTGAACTGAGGGGTCCTTGGTGCTCTCTGAGCTTGGTTGTTTTCTTGCAGACATTTCATTACCGAACTAGGTAACATCATCCATGCTAGTAGGGAGTGGGGTTTGCTCTCCGTTTATAGTGTAGTGGCTTGCTCTGTCAGTGTTGGTGGGAGTAGCCTTGGCTGGGCTGTTTACTGTTAGCTTTTTGACAGTCCCTCAATTGAGATATTATTTACTCCTTGATTGTTGGTCTGATGTTAATCTTGGGAACTAATCTATGCTCATCTGGGCGCTGATCAAGAAATAATAATAATAATAATAATAATAATAATAATAATAATAATAATAATAATAATAATAATAATAGCAGTAGTAGTAGTAGTAGTAGTAGTAGTAGTAGTAGTAATACCCTCTTTCATTCTATAAAATTTGGTGTATTAATATGTTATAGAGAAATAATGTAATTTTTTCTTTGTGAAGAGAAGGTGGTCGGCTAGTACCCCCAAACTGCATCCGAAGGTTGAGGAAAAGAAGGTGGAATGTGTAGGATAGTTGGAAGAGAAAGAGGAGAGAGGTGTGGGTAGGAGGGGAGGAAAGGAAGAGGGAAGTAGGTAGGAAGGGTGAAAGAGAGGGTGGATGCGGAGGGGGGGGACTGCCGATCACCTCTGAAAATATGATATTCAATAGGGTTTTTTTCTTTTCTTTTTAATGATGTGCACCATATTTGTATTAAGAATTTGTTTATTTGAAAATTAATAAAAATTTGTAAAATGAAGAAATAATAATAATAATAATAATAATAATAATAATAATAATAATAATAATAATAATAGTTGTAGTAGTAGTAGTAGTAGTAGTAGTAGTAGTAGTAATACCCTCTTTCATTCCTCTTTGAGCTCCCCCACCATCCTTCTCAGTATATTGGAATTGTAAAATCCCAAACTCCAAAGAAGGAAGAAGCAATTCACAAAGAAATGAGAGCGTCAGGGTTATTTGGGGTTTCAACCATCCTTTCATGATCCTCATCCTTTCATGATCCTCATCCTTTCATGATCCTCATCCTTTCATGATCCTCATCCTTTCATGATCCTCATGAAAGGATGGATCACTATCCTCATACTATCATGCCTAGCTGAAGCTGAAGCTAAGAGCTAAGAGCTTGCCTATCTCTGCCTGCTACATGAACTTAAAAAGTATTGAATCATTTCAAAAGTATTCCAGCTGCGTTTCAAGTACAAATATCACCCTTATAACATCACTTGGCTGGCACACAGTGAGAATACACATACAGTGCTATATATATATTTTCTTCCAAAAATAACTAAAATTGACTTGAAAAGCCTTATTGTCTCTTTGGCATTCCATTACTTGAAACAAGCTTCTGTTATTTGGGGCCCTAATGAAATGATGGAATCAGTTCTTCCTAAGCTATGAAAAGAGAGCCAAAATTGTTCTATTTATTGGGGGAGGGAACCTACAAGGGCATCCTTATAGTCCAATTCTCATTTTGAAAAAAAGTCAATGGGCCAAACTGACATCAAAGCTTATCAAGATCTTACCCAATCCGGTTAAGAGCTGATTTCTGTAGGAACATAGGAAGAATGACTTCTAATCTTTTATACAGTAGTGGCCAAAATTGTGGAAACCTTTTGGGAAAAGTGTATTTTTTGAGGTTTGATGGCTAATAACACCCCTTTGTTTTTGGAGTAGTACCATAAAATTATATATCAATGGAAAGATAATTTAATCAAGAATGTAATGCAACAAAGTTTGTTCAATTATCTGTACTGTATTCTATGAAAAGCTATAGCCAAATAACCAGAAAAAGGCAGCACAACTTGCTTAGGTTGATATCAGGCAGCTTTCCTTCATCTGATGGTAGCCAATGAGCAGGAGTGTTTAGAGAGCCAATCGGGTGTCATCTTGTTTTGGCAATGAGCCAATTAGATCACAGTAGGGTTCAGTGATTGATGTCCTGTATTGAAGCTGAGAGTAGGACATTGGTCAGTGTGTTAGGTGATCGCTATCAAGTTGGTTGGGTTTTTTTGTGTTCTTTCATTTAGTGAGCTTGTAAAACGGAATAAAATTAAAGTAATGGTGCAAAGAGTTGACTGGTTGCCCAGAAAGCGATGCAAAATACTATTATTAAGTGAACAAGGCTACAGTTATGAAGAAATTAGAAGAAAAATGGGTGGAAACTTAACCAAAGGTGGCATTTCTACTGTACACTTTTTCCAAAAGGTTTCCACAATTTTGGCCACTACTGGAGATACCATTCAGTGCTAAGAAAAGCTGGAATAACCTAAAGTTCATCCAGTCGCTGTATCCAGTTTCTACAAATGACCAATCACATGCCTCAATGAAATCAATGAACGATGCACAAAAGCAATAACTCAACGATAATCCACAGCAACTCATATTTGAAAATGCATAACTCTGATTGCGTAGCTTAGTTCTCTCTCAGAACTTAACTTTTTTAAAGTTAAACATAAAATTTACACCTGCAAGCATATTGCTAATGCACTGTGTGGAGAAATGCTGTCTTTTCTGTGTTCTTTTATACATCAACCAATACCACTCATTGAGTAGCCTAGTGATGAAGATGCTCGCCTCCCAGAATTTACCCAGTTCAATCCTGGGTAAATTCTCTCTTGGGGCACAAAGAAAAAAATATTTGCTCTGAACTCCATGTAGGTGTCAGGAAGGGCATCCGGCCAGTAAATGCTCAGCTCCATCCAGTCGCGCCGACTCTACCCTGAATTAAGTGATTACAGGGCCATAAAAAGGGAGTTATTAGTTTATGGAAAAGAAGAACATTGATCTCTTCATCCACTTTTCTTCAAACTATATCTTCTGACCCTCAAATCTCCCCTTTCCGATTCTGAAATGAAACTTCTACAAGAAGAAGCAGTGCTGAAGGCAATCTCATCTTAGAACAGAGGTGGGGAACTATGGCCCCTTTATGACTGGTGGACTTCAACTCCCAGAATTCCTGAGCCAGAATTCTGGGAGTTGAAGTCCACCAGTCATAAAAGGGCCACAGTTCCCCACCTCTGTCTTAGAACAATAAAAAAAATAACGTCAGCAATTGTTATTTATTCATACTGTTAGAATAATCTGAGCACAGCAAGCATAGAGTTGCTGTAGAGAGAAGGTAAGGACTGATTCTCACATCAGTGGAAAAAATAATAATAAAAAAACAGAACACTGGACCACCCAGTGGATCTAATGGGGTCATCGTACTTTGCAGGCCTTGCTATAATTGCTATTCCACCTCAATTCCTGGAGGAGAACCCAAAGTCACAGCTGCTTTCTAGCAAAAGTACTCAAGGCAGTGTACTTCATAATCATAAAACCATATCATTAATCAATAATACAACAGCCCCAAAGAGGTTGCTTCATCTCTTGACATTTTACGTTCTTCCGAGCCCATCAGATTCCGTGGAAGCTGCACAATGTTTTGCAATAATTACCAATGCAACCTAACAATTCATAAGGTTCAGCTGCTGCCCCAACAAAGTAGAAGCCCAGTTGCTCTGGCTTAGCTTCACGTCCAGCAACACAGCACCATGGTAGCTGTCAGCAACTCCCTTCCAAAATATGACGCTGTCTCCCTCCCTTCAACTCATACGAGATATTACATGTCCTACTGCAGTGCTCAATTCCACGCTACTGACCTCCATCCTTTTAATGCCACCAACTCCTCGTCCGCCATAGTAGGAAGCATCCACTGTCGGCCATTTTTTGGAAGGCAACGGATCTTCTTCCTCCTGAAAAAAATCCAAGAACATTTTTTGGGGGGAGTGGGAATAAATTTAGATTTTTGAAAAAGAAAATTCCTCATATATATATCTAAAACCAGCTTCCTCGCAGGCAACTTTTTCCTAAAGGTGATGTGAGACCAAACGGCGAGAAGACAAGGAAAACAGAAGTAGTCCTTGACTTACAGCCATAATTGAGCCCAAGACTTTAAGTTGCTAAGCGAGAAAATTGATTGAGTGAGTTTTTGCCCCATTTTGTGACTTTTCTTGCCACAGTTGTTAAGTGAATCACTGCAGCTGTTAAATGAATAACATGGTTGTTAAATGAATCTGGCTTCCCCACTGACGTTGCTTGCCAGAAGGTCGTAAAAGATGATCACGTGACCCCAGGACAATGCAGGGGTCATAAATATGAACCAGTGGTCAAGCATCCAAATGTAAATCACATGACCATGGGGATGCTGCAATGGTCATAAGTGTGAAAAAAATGGATCATTTTTTTTCAGTGCCATTGTAACTGCGGATGGCACTAAATCAGGGGTGTCAAACTGCCGGCCCGCGGGCCGGTTTCATCATACCGGAGCCGCGCCCACCCCATTGCCGGCAATGGGGAAAAAGCTCCGATACGTTACATGACGTCGCGAGTTTGACATGTCTGCACTAAATGAACTTGTCATGCCTCCGTCTGAGCCTGAATCTGTGGAGGAAAATGAACTGGAATGGGACCCTATGGAGGTCGAGGGAGAAGGGTCTGTGGCTTCAGAGGAATGTGGGGAAGAGCAGGCCGAGGCAGGCCAGGGCCCTTCAGGAGTGGGACAGGAGGAACAGGAGAGACAGAGTTCAGGCGATGAGCAAAGGCCATCCCCACCTGATCCTAGAGCACGGAGAGTGGAGAGAAGGAGGGAACAACGCAGGCAGGCTCAACTACTCGGGAGGAGAGCGTCCCACCCCTCTCCACAAGGCACACCTGGAGACTGAGATTTAAGGAGATGCTGTGGGGAGGGGGCACTTGTCGGGAACAAATGCTGATTCCTTGGAGTGTTGTGTATTGTTGCTGATCTTCTGTTCTGTGACTTCTGTTTGGAAACCTGGAAACTCGGACTATTGGACTGACTGACCACGTTACTTGAATGTTTGAAGATCTCAGATTGTATTTCGGATTCTCTCTTTTGAAAACTGCTCAGGCAAGCTAGGATTCCAACAGACTCCTTAAGTTTATGTTTTCTTCCTTGTTATCTTTATGGCCTTGAGTACTTTCTTATGCTAATCAGACTGTATTTGAACCTACTTTCAGCCAGAGTTGACTGAAAGGGTGTGTGTGTGTGTGTGTTCTTTTGTTGGAGGCTTGCCAGCAAAAGTGGGAGCATTTGGGGAAAATTTGGAGCAATAAAAGAACTGTTTGAATTGCCAGCTGACTGCATTGCCTCTGTGCAGTGCCCTGGGTCATCACAGAACTGTTGTAAGTAGAGGACTACTTGCATTAAGGACAATAAGCTATACCTCTGACATAAAATATAAATGTCAAATTAATGCTTGTTGAGGAACTTCTTACATACCACACATATATTTTGAATGGCATAAAATATTAGTTCTACTGCAAGCTAAAAACAGGATAAAACCTGTTGCTTGATTATTTTATTTCGATTTTTTTTTCATGATAAGAGGTTTTGGAATTAAACCATTCCCCCCAAACTAATTGAACAAAATTGTCAACATATTTAACACAGCTTAAATATAGCCATTAACAAACTTTCACGATTTAAAACCCTTCCATCAAACAAAGGCATAAAAATCTACAGCAGATACAGCAGAATCGGTGTCAGAAGCTAAATGAGTTATGGACCAACAAAGTTTCCACAATCTGCTACCCTTCTAATTTGAGGGACTTAACTTCCAAAATTCACAGTCCATATGGCCATTCTTGCTAGGAACTTGGGGGTTTGCAGTCCAACGTATCAAGAGTGCATCGGGTTATAAAAAGCTTATTTGAAATGCTCTCGTGAACCTTCTGAATATTGAATTTATTTATTTTTTAAGAAAAAAAAACTGGTAAAGACTCCTTCGGATTGAGCTGAAGGACTGGTGACTACACAGACGTTATCTCTGTAGTTTTCTCATCAATCGCTGAAAGCGGTTTGCTAATGCCTTCTTCCTAGAACGGGTAGGCAATCTTGGCTCTTTTATGACTCGTGGACTTCAACTCCCAGAATTCCTGAACCAGCCATGCTGGCTCAGGAATTCTGGGAGTTGAAGTCCACGAGTCATAAAAGAGCCAAGGTTGCCTACCCCTGTCCTAGAATGTGAAATTTCTCTATTCAAAAAAGAAGGGTAGTTTGTCTGCCTCAACTAATGCCCATTTCATAATTAAAGACGTGCCTTGTAATTCACCGAGAATGCATTAGATGACACCAGACAGGCATCCACAGACCCAGTTCCCCCTTTTGTCAAAATGATGAATGCAAGATCTTGCAACACAAGCTCCACCTCTTGGGGCATTTGTGTGATGTACAATGCATGCACAACAGAGGGAAGGCTTGCATTATAAGGGTGCGACACTGCCTCCATCAAGCTGACCTTCTGTATTTATTTATTTGTGTCCTGCCTTTATTATTTTTACAAGTAACTCAAGGTGGCAAACATATCCAACGCACCTGCCTCTTCGTATTTTCCCCCAAACAACAACTCTTTGAGGTTGGTTGGGATGAGAGAGAGAGATTGGCTCAAAGTCACCCCGTTGGCTTTCATGGCTAAGGTAGGACTAGAACTCACCATCTCCTGGTGATTGGCCCAAAGTAACCCAGTTGGCTTTCATGGTTAAGGTGGGACTAGAACTTATCATCTCCTGGTGATTGGCCCAAAGTAACCCAGTTGGCTTTCATGGCTAAGGAGGGACTAGAACTCATCTCCTGGTGATTGGCCCAAAGTAACCTAGTTGGCTTTCATAGCTGAGGTGGGACTAGAACTCATCATCTCCTGGTGATTGGCCCAAAGTAACCCAGTTGGCTTTCATGGCTATGGTGGGACTAGAACTCACCATCTCCTAGTGATTGGCCCAAAGTAACCCAGTTGGCTTTCATGGCTAAGGTGGGACTAGAACTCATCATCTCCTGGTGATTGGCCCAAAGTAACCCAGTTGGCTTTCATGGCTAAAGAGGGACCAGAATTCACCATTTCCTGGTGACTGGCCCAAAATCAGCCAGCCAGCTTTCATGTTTAAGGTTGGACCAGAATTCACCATCTTCTGGTGACTGGCCCAAAATCAACCAGCCAGCTGTCATGTCTAAGGTTGGACTTGAATTCACAGTCACCTGGTGATTGGCCCAAAATCAACCAACCAGCCTTCATGCCTAAGAGGAGACAAGAACTCAATGACCCTTGGTTTCTACCTTAATGGCTTAACATGACAGATAAAATAACAGATGACAACTGATCCCCAAGTTGGTGTATAAATGTTAAGGGTTATTATATCCAGCTTCGGGTTACTTCTGCTGATGCCTATGTGAGCAGTCCCTGCTTCAGGAGATCCTTTGAAAGGGAGCCTCTTCCCAAGAGAACATGTCCTCCACTCCCACCATGTTAAAAAACTGCAGAGCCTTAAACAGTGGGGGAACTTTTTTTTTTTTTTGAAAAAGGTGAATGACACAAAATCCCAAGCGTTTCAGCAAAAGGCCATGAATCCAGAACCGACGGCAATTTTGGTTTAGTAGCTGCACTGGTTACAGAATGGGCAGCATATTGTAGGCACTGTGTTAGAGGTCACCCAGTTGGCTTTCATGGCTAAGGTGGGATCAGAACTCACCACCTCCTGGTGATCGGCCCAAAGTCACCCAGTTGGCTTTCCTGGCTAAGGTGGGACTAGAACTCACCATCTCCCGTCTTCTAGCCTGGTGCCTTAACCACTAGACCAGGGGTAGGCAACCTTGGCTCTTTTATGACTCGTGGACTTCAACTCCCAGAATTCCTGAGCCAGCACAGCTGGCTCAGGAATTCTGGGAGTTGAAGTCCACGAGTCATAAAAGAGCCAAGGTTGCCTACCCCTGCACTAGACCAAACTGGCCCTCCTCTCCCCCCACTGACACCATGGGAGAGAAACATTTTTTTCCGAAGTAATATAGATATGGGGCGGCAGACAAATTTAACAAATAATAATAAATAAATACTTCTTAGCAAGGTATCTAAAATGAAAGCTTCTCCGTGTCCTAAAAAATACAATATCTACTACCATGGATAGATGTATCTACTGTCTATTCTTCTCATCCAGCCTTTCAAGATGCAATCCTAGCAAAATATACTGCATATTTCAGCTGATGCAACTCTTTTTCCTAATGAACAGAAAGCATGCATCGCTGAGTCAGTTCTTATCTTGGGGTCCTATTTGGTCTCTGAGCTTGGTGGTTTTCTTGCAAGTCTTTCATTACCAGACTAAATAACATCATCAGCACTGATGATGTTACCTAGTTAGGGTAATAAAATGCCTGCAAGAAAGCCACCAAGCTCAGAGAGCACCCAAGACCCCACAATTCAGTCCTGAACTACAAATATTCTTTCCTATCGATTCAAATCTGGGCATGCTGGGGTGGACAAATTGCAATCCACTAGTCACTCCTGTCTCCTCTGGGATGGCCAGCAAGAGGCGGTGTGGGAAGACCTGTTAATCTTCTCCTTGCTTGAAATGAAGGGCTCCTAGCAAGCCAACATCTTTTCCAATCTTCCCTGCCAGCTGATTTAGAGAGAAAATGTACTGAGGAAAAGAACTGGGGTGTGTATTCAAACACACCCCATTGCAGCCTTGCCCCAAAGGGGTTGGCACTACAGGTCCCATTTTCTTCTGCCACTATGGCCAAGTCGTCTTTCTATGAATGTAGCTGCAGTATCAACACATCTGGAAAATACCACAGGTTTACATGCTTAGCCAACTTCGGCTGATAGCCGTTATCATTTTCCCTAAAGAAATACAGAGGATTCTCTGCATTTCCAAGGAAGAAGGGATTATCACAATTCTGGAATGATCACACTGAACTTAAGGCTGCACTGCAAGTACGTCCTAACACCCCTTTTAGGACCTCTGAATGTACAAAGCCAAAATAAAAAGTGCAAAACTAACGGGGGGGTTATCAAGTAGAACACCGAAGCAAAAATACAGATGTGCAAGGCGCTTAATACAGCCGGATCGGAAGATTATTACCACTTTGTTGGAGTGAGTAAAGATATTCTGTGAATTATACTTGCTGGCATCCTCAGCCACAGAACGCATAAACTGAGCATCTTGGTTACGTGCAAGGAAAATCAATTTGCAGTGGAATGTATTTTGAAGTGCTTATTACAATCCAATTCTTGTTGAGTTGCCACATAGCAACACTTTTACTTGTGCACTTTGGGGGATAACCAATCTAGCTAACATAGTGTACCCTATAAAAAGGGAATGCCGTGCTTTAACAGACTAACTCCCCCCCCTTTTCTTTATGGCTAACCCGTTTGGATATCCAGCTAAAGTTGATGGATGTGATCACACAATTTTATGAACAATCCCAAAGAGAGTGGCTTCAATATGGCTAAAGAGGCCATGCTTCCATTTCATGAGGAAAAAAAATTCCCCAAAAGATCCTGTATTGATACGAGACGTCTACTCTTTATCAAAGGATTCCACACATGTGTGTTTGGATCCACAACTGCCTAACGCAGTGTTTCTCAACTTTGACAATTTTAAGGCATGTGGACTTCAACTCCCAGAATTCCACAGCCAGCGTTGCTGGCTGTGGAATTCTGGGAGTTGAAGTCCACATGCCTTAAAATTGTCAAAGTTGAGAAACACTGGGCCCTAACCCAGTAAAAAACATGGCTGAAATGTGTTAACATGAACTCCTGACATGTTCTCTTATGGCAGATATATACATTATGGGGAACAGCAGGCTCACTTAATACTCTGTCCCGGGAATGAGGAAAAAATAAATAAATAAAAATGGTTATTTGAAGACAATTGACTCATTTCTGCTTCTTTCTCCTCCTGGTGCCCCCATCCTACACACCTTCAAATTCACCATTTATTTATATCGCCAACTATTGCAGGCTGGGAAAAGCAGAGGGATCCTTCATGAGGCAAATGAATCAGATCGTGTCAACCTTAAATTGTATTTCTAAGTCACTGGCAACATGGTGACCTACTTTTGTAAACAGCAAGCCATCGGAGCAGTTTGGAAGCTTACCTCTATTGGAACTGAAGGCTGTAGCCGAGGAGGATCCTTAATAACCTATGGATGAAGGGACAAATTAGATGATAAAGGAGAGAAGGGCAAATATTCATTAAAACCAGGGGTCTTCAAACTCGGCCCTTTTATGACTCGTGGACTTCAACTCCCAGAATTCCTCAGCCAGCGTGTCTGGCTAAGGAATTCTGGGAGTTGAAGTCCACGAGTCATAAAAGGGCGAGTTTGAAGACCCCTGGCCTACAGTCCTTAGATCAGTGGTGGTGAACCTATGGCACGGGTGCCAGAGGCGGCACTCAGAGCCCTCTCTGTGGGCATGCGTGCCGTCGCCCCAGTCCTAGGCCTTCAGCTGGGTTTTATAAAACCTTTTCGCTTTAGGGCTCCGCCACCGTGTACAAAAAAAAAAAGGTCCAATCAATCAGTCAATTTCAACTTCTCACGGGGAAAAAAAAGATCTTGCAAAGTTGGAATCGATTGATTGAACTTTTTAGTCCCACCCAGTCTGCCGTTACCACCGCAGCCACGCCCACCCAATGGGCCACACCCACCCAATGGGCCACACCCACCCGGCACCCGACAATGCACAAGTGGGTTTTGGGTTGCAGTTTGGGCACTCGGTCTCTAAAAGGTTCGCCATCACTGCCTTAGATACTTTGACCATGTGACCATGGGGATGCTGCAACGGCCATGTGAAAAATGGTTATAAGTAACTTTGTTTCAGTGCCATTGTAACTTTGAATAGTCACTAAACGAATGGCTATAAGCTGAGGACTTCCTGTAATGGCGCCCTCCAAATAATGAGATCCAATTTCCAATTGGATCCAGGCTGCATCTCTATTGATGTTAACAGTAGCAAATCTGAAGATCTTTTTTTATTGCAATGATTTTATATTCTGCGGTATGCATCTGGTTTAATTCTATATAAACTACGGTTATTAGGATTTATTTTTTTTCAGATTGGGCACAACACTTAAGGCTTAACGCTCCCCTAAGAGAAACGAAAATGGATAAGATCTCTCCCCCACCAAAGCATTTTAATTAAGTCAACTTTATTAACAGCATGGGGGCTGCCTTAAATTACTTTAAATCCATCACTTCCCTCAAAACCGGCTCAGGAAGCTCTCCTTATTTTCCAGGGGGGGCCGGAAGAGAAAGGAAGAGCGTCTGTAATTCCTTCATCCTGAGAACTTGCACATGTTAAAAGACATAATATTGCCAAGATGTCAAGTATTTCTATTTCATTCACATTTCTTAAACACCATCGCAAAGAGCCCAGGAGACTAAATCTCCATTTTGTTTACCATATGCAGAGTTTGAGTCTTCTCCAAATTTTTAGGGTTTGGTATTATTATCATTGTCAAGAACAGGCTGCTGGGTGTTTATTTAGCCAAACAAGGGGGGGGAGGAGGAAGGATTTAAGACTTCGTTTTAGAAGACAGCCGGTTTTCCTCCATAACAGATCATTAAACAGACAGATGGACAAATAGACAGATACATAAGTAGGTAGGTAGGTAGGTAGATAGAGAGATCGGTAAAGATAACTGAGTTCATTTTTTTTTTTAAATAAATGAGTGTCTTCAGGCAACTGCCCCTTGATGTGCTCATTAGCACTTCTCCAAGGCTGGAATGTGGTGGCCATTATAAAAGGTCAGCCCCAGAGCCCAAAGCCAGCTTGGTGCAGTCAGATGTTCACTAATGCTCACGAAAGAGCGAACAAACTGTCGACAGCCAACTCTTTTTCACAAAGGAGAAAACCCGCTCCGCAACTTGGCGAGCGGCCTGCCCGGACTGCAGATCAAGAGCAACAAAGATGATTAGGGGACTGGAGGCTAAAACATATAAGGAAAGGCTGCTGGAATTGGGTATGTCTAGTTTAATGAAGAGAAGGACGAGGGGGGACATGATAGCCGTGTTCCAGTATCTCAGGGGCTGCCCCAAAGAAGAGGGAGTCAAGCTATTCTCCAAGGCGCCTGAAGGCGGGACGAGAAGCAACGGATGGAAACTGATCAAGGAGAGAAGCAACCTAGAACTAAGGAGAAACTTCCTGACAGTTAGAACAATTAACCAGTGGAACAACCTGCCTCCAGAAGCAGTGAATGCTCCAACACTGGAAGTTTTTAAGAAGAGACTGGACAGCCATTTGTCTGAAATGGTGTAGGGTTCCTGCCTGAGCAGGGGGTTGGACTAGATGACCTCCAAGGTCCCTTCCAACTTTATCATTATTATTATTATCTTTCTTCAATTCACAGAGTGATCATTGTAGTTTCTTCTTAGTTAGGTGCCCTGGCAAAAGATGTCTCCTCCCACACGTAGGATTTAATCAATATATTTTAATGCATAGCAGGCCTCCAGAGAGACAGGTCCCAGCAAGAAGTGGTGAATGCTCCAACACTGGAAGTTTTTAAGAAGAGACTGGACAGCCATTTGTCCGAAATGGTGTAGGGTTCCTGCCTGAGCAGGGGGTTGGACTCGATGACCTCCAAGGTCCCTTCCAACTTTATTATTATTATTAAGTCAAAAATAAATAAATAAATAAAAATCACCAACTGGCTCCTGCCAACAATTAAAGCAGGGTGCCCCTCAATTCGTCGGACACGCTAGAGGCCAACTGGCTGCTGCCAACGAGGAAGGCTGACTGGTCAGGAATGGGGGGGCAAAGTGGAGGAAAAAGGAAAAGATCCTCCTTCGACGCAAATTTTGTTCTATTCCTGTCCTGCAATGTAGATACGGGCAGGCGCGAGCTGAACCAAAATGGCAAAAATCGGGCTTTAACTACAACGGTGCCGGTTGTGGAAAAAGAAGGCCAGCTTTATGCCATTCTATGAGGGGAAAAAATGCAGGAACCGAAGTTACAAACACAGGTAGTCCTCGAATTACTACCACAGTTGAGCCCAAAGTTTCCAGTACTAAGCAAGGCAGTTGTTAAGGGAACTCTGCCCCGTTTTTAACAACCTTGCTTGCCACGTTTGTTAAGTGAATGACTGCGGTTGTGATGTTAGTTAACACGGTTGTTAATTGAATCTGGCTTTCCCCCCCCCCCCATCCTTGACGTTTCTTGTCAAAAAGGGGATCACATGACCCCGGGACGCTGCAACCGTCATAAATACGAGTCAGTTGCCAAGCGTCTGAATTTTGATCACGTGACCGCGGGGATGCTGCGACGGTCGTTAAGTGGGAAAAACGGTCATAAGGCACTTTTTTCAGAGACTTGTGACTTTGAATGGTCACTAAATGAATAGTTGTAAATCGAGGACTACCTAAAATCAGCATATATGCCAGTGGTAGCGAACCTATGGCACGAGTGCCAGAGGCAGCACTCAGAGCCCTCTCTGTGGGCACTCACGCCGTCGCCCCAGCCTTACCTCCCCCCATGACCCCCTCCTCACCAGCAGCCCCCCCAGAGGAGAGTCGCCCCCGAGCACAGCCGGCACAAAGCAGTGCAGCCAAGGACATGGCAGCCGGGCAGCAGGGACAAGACTCCGCCCTTGTGCCCCGTCGCACGCAGATGATGCTGCGGGGTGCGGGCGGAGGGCATGGCCACCATGACACTGCTGGGTCACCTGGGCAATCTGCGGCGGGCCGTGGAGACAGTAGGTGGCCCTGCGGGCGGGTAGGGCTGGGCTGGGGGCAGAGCGGGGCAGAGGGTGGGATGGGGCAGAGCTAGAGTGGAGCAGGGGCAAGTGGGGCTGATTTTGGGGCACTCGGTCTCTAAAAGGTTCGCCATCACTGATATATGCTATCACCACAATAAAACGTGGTGCCTTATCTTGGGCCAACTGTCACTGTCTCAAAGACTACACTTTGGGATAAAATTGGGATTTTAGAACTCAGCGTTGTTTTCTCATAGCACCCTATTAAGATTAATAAGAAGCTTTTAAAGGTAAAGGGGGATTTATCCAGATATTAACGCCGGTTCCGTGTTTTTTTTTTTAAATTAGTTCAGTAGGGAATTCAAGGGAATGCTAATTAGCACAGAAGGGTGCAGGAATATAAACTCCAGAAGTCAACCAATTAAGGTCTTACTGATGAGCCAGCAGTTCAGGAAAAGCAGACCAAGGTGCCAGTTGCAATGATATTTATATTTGCATTCAGTCTGCAAGAAAAGATGCCTCAGTTCATTCCAGCTGGAGCATAACCTTCGCCAATTTGATTACGAGCAAATCAATAATACGACGTTGGCTATGCTGCTCACCCAAACTGAGGGAAGACTACAGAGCACTGTTTAAGAAAACACTTTTAAGAAATGTGGACTTCAACTCCCAGAATTCCCCAGCCAGCCAGAGAGGAAAAAGGTTACTTACCACTTTGCAACACAGAGGCCAAAACCACCACAGAGCAGCAATCCCCAGCAACAGTAACAAAATGAGGATAATTATCAGTGCCACAATGCCATTTGTCTATCAAAAAAAAAAGAGAGAGACAGAAAGATAAATAAAATTTAATTCACATTTGTGGTAATGAAAAGGCAGGGCTCTCTTTCTGAATCATGCTAAATCGGACCGAGACAATATAGGATACGGACTTCGGCGTAGCTGCAGATTCCTTTCTTGTTCTATGATGGGCTGGCTGACACGATCTATATCAGGGGTCTTCAAAGTTGGCCCTTTTATGACTTGTGAAGTCCACAAGTCATAAAAGGGCCAACTTTGAAGACCCCTGATATAGACTGCTGGGATGGAAAGCTAGCCTTATAGTTGATTTTTAAAAAATAAATAAAAAAAATTAGTCAAGGTGCTAGCCTGGAACATGGTAGGCAATAATGGCAACTTTATGACTTGTAGACTTCAACTCCCAGAATTCCTGAGCCAGCCAATAAGGAGCTGAACTCCACAAGTCGTAAAGTCGCCATAGTAGTTGCCCACCCGGCCTAGAGACTAGGACAGTGGTGGCGAACCTATGGCACGGGTGCCAGAGGCCGCACTCGGAGCCCTCTCTGTGGGCACATGCACCGTCGTCCCAGCCCCGCCTCCTCCCATGGCCCCCTCCTCACCAGCAGCCCCCCGGAGGAGAGTCGCCCCTGGGCATGGCCCACATGAAGCAGCGTAGCCAAGGACATGGTAGCTGGGCAGCAGAGACAAGACTCCACCCTTGCGCCCCGTCGCACACAGATGATGCTGCGGGGCACAGGCGGAGGGCGCGGCCGCCATGGCGCTGCTGGGCTACCTGGGTGATCTGTGGTGGGCCGTGGAGGTGGTGGGTGGCCCAGTGGGCACGGCGGAGCGGGGACAGGGGTGGGGGGGCAGGTTTTGGGCACTCGGTCTCTAAAAGGTTCGCCATCACTGGACTAGGCGACTTGCGAGTTCTAGTTCCGTCTTAGGCATGAAAGCCAGCTAGGTGACTTTGGACCAGTCTCTCTCTCTCTTGGATCAACCCACCCTGCAGGTTTGTTGTAGAGAAAATAGGAGGAGTATAAAATATATTCAGTGTCTTGAGTCCTTTATAAAAATAACAAAGGTGGGATATAAATAAATACGTAAAATAAAATCTGGTGGGGTAGATTAGCAGTAAGAAAGCACCACCAGGTTCAAAGAAAAGAAAAAGGAGATTCTTGGTTCATATATTTGTGCAGAAAAGGAACAAAGATGACTAGGGGCCTGGGTACTAAAACATACGATGAACGGTTGCAGGAATTAGGTATGGCTGGTCTAGTGAAAAGATGGAACAGGGAAGATACGATAACAGTTTTCCAATATTTGAAGGGGTGCCACAAAGAAGAGGGGGGGGTCAACCTATTTTCCAAGCACCTGAAGGCAAGACAAGAAACAATGAATGGAAACTACTCAAAGAGTCAGCCAGTCTAGAACTAAGGAGAAATTTCCTTACGGTGAGAACAATCAGTCAGTGGAACAACTTGCCCTCAGAAATTGTGGGTGCTCCTTCACTGGAGGCTTTTAAGAAGGGACTGGACAATCACATGTCTGAAATTGCATAGGGTCTCCTGCTAGAGCAGGAGGTTGGTTTAGAAGATCTCCAAGGTCCCTTCCAACCCTGATATTCTATGAGTCTATGTTTCTATCCTCTTCTTAGTTTTATTTCCTCTAAGCACCAAATGAGCAATTTAATGAATGTTAACAGCACGTGCCTCTAAATATAATAACAATAACAATAACAGGAAGGAGGAGAAGGAGAAGGAGAAGGAGAAGGAGAAGGAGAAGGAGAAGGAGAAGGAGAAGGAGAAGGAGAAGGAGAAGAAGAAGAAGAAGAAGAAGAAGAAGAAGAAGAAGAAGAAGAAGAAGAAGAAGAAGAAGAAGAAGAAGAAGAAGAAGAAGAAGAAGAAGAAGAAGAAGAAGAAGAAGACGACGACGACAACCTTGGAGGTCATCTAGTCCAACCTCCTGCTCAGGCAGGAAACCCTATGTCATTTCAGACAAAGGGCTGTCCAGTCTCTTCTTAAAAACGTCCAGTGTTGGAGCATTCACAGCTTCTGGAGGCAGGCTGTGAGTATGTGCACTATGACTCTGTAGGCCAACTTTGCATTTCAGCAGTTTTTTTAATGTTTGGGATTTCATGTTTTGCATGAAAAGCTGCGGCTTTCTCTGCCGGTAGAAGTCAGCAAATATGTTTCCTGTTTATGAAAGTGACATAAAAGCTTGGGATAGCAAATGCCTATGTAAGTTCAGCCTAAAAGCATCCTGTGGATTTCCTTTATTAAGAAGCACACACGCCTTTTCAGATTCTGAATCAGGAAACATTTTTAAGACTGACAAGAGATGGAAAAACTCGACAACTGAATTTACCCTGTATTCAGTGGTGGGATTCAAATAGGGGAACAACCGGTTCTCTGTGTGGATGCCGCTTCCGGAAGTCCGTTCTGGGCCCGGGCAACAAAAAATTAGCTACCGGTTCTGCCGTAGTGGTGCGAACCAGCTGAATCCCACCACTGCCTGTATTGCTGCAAACATATAGACATTGAATTCCAGCTGCTTAAAAATCTAAACATGTTGTTATTTTTACTGGTTGAGCAAGGGTGGTGGGTTGTTAATATTTTTTTCCCCGGCAAAAACTTTCATTAACCCAGAACTAATAAACATCACCAAAAAAGCAAAATAATGTCCATAAAATGAATTGGATCTGCATTTTTGTCAGATTGCTGCAACGCAGGCATTACCAAGAGGCTTCTGAGTATGTGTGTTTAATTTCCAATGAGAGAGACAGAGAGAGAGAGAGAGAAAGAGAAAATCCTTCTTTTGGAAGATGATCATTATGATCTAAACTTGCTTGCAATAAATCTCCTGGGGCCGTTTTCCAGAGGTGAAAGGAAAGCGCCGTTTGTTCTTTAAAGAGGCTAGAGATGCATCTCAACAGAGCCTCTCAAGGGAAGTGGGTTTAGGAGCCTTTTATGAGCTGTTGAGTGTGTTACTAGCAAATAATCCTTGTATGTAAATAACAGCAGCATGTGCCAAAGAGGTTTCCTGGGTGACCAAGGACAATTTGTCCCTTCTTGTAATGAAAACTGGAAGTCATCTTTATACATTTCTTTTCTTTCTTCCTATCCTTTCTTTTCTCTTTCTTTTCCTTTGCACTTTTTATTATTTTTATTATTTATCATAATTTCTCTACTGCTTTTCCTTTTTTTCACATTTAGGTGTGTTAGTTTTTATTACTGTAATCAAAATCCTTAATAAAAATTATATGCAAAAAAATAGAAATAATAATAGTACAATAATAGAATAACGGCAATGACGACGACGACGATGACAACAACAACAACAACAACAACAACAACAACAACAACAACAACAATAATAATAATAATAATAATAATAATAATAATAATAATAATAATAATAATAATAATAATAATGTTGGAAGGGATCTTGGAGTCCAACCCCCTGCTCAGGCAGGAAACCCTATACCATTTCAGACTAATGGCTGTCCAGTCTCTTCTTAAAAACTTCCAGTGTTGGAGCATTCACCACTTCTGGAGGCAGGTTGTTCCACTGGTTAATTGTTCTAACTGTCAGGAAGTTTCTCCTTAGTTCTAGGTTGCTTCTCTCCTTGATGAGTTTCCATCCGTTGCTTCTTGTCCTGCCTTCAGATGCTTTGGAGAATAGCTTGACTTCCTCTTCTTTGGGGCAGCCCCTGAGATACTGGAGCCCTGCTATCATGTCCCCCCTCGTCCTTCTCTTTACTATCACTCCCAGGATTCTCTCAACCATGTTTGGGCCAGAGATGGCAAAAATGGACACCTAACTCAGCATGGGGGCATACTGGCACATGCAGGAGAGGAAGGGAAGGGCAAATGATGAAATGTACATTGTACTATCACATATAAACTCCTCCCCTTATGTCTTTGCTGGCAACAGCACAAAGCAAATAGGAGATTGTGTCATGAGGTCGTAAAAAGAGGGAGTCAATCTAGTCTCCAAAACATCTGAGGGCAGGAGAAGAAGCAATGGATGGAAGCTCATCAAGGAGAGAACCAACCTAGAACTAAGGAGAAATTTCCTGACAGTGAGAACAATTAATTAGTGGAACAAGTTGCCTCCAGAAGTTGTGGGTGCTCCAACACTGGAGGCTTTTATTAAAAAGAGATTGTCTGAAATGGTATAGGGCAGTGGTACTCAACCTTTTCTCCACCACAAGATCCCCTTTAAATACCTTTTGGAGCCACGGACCATGCCATGGACCCCGAAGATGTAACTCATAAATCATTACATTTCTTCAAGCCTTCGTGGACACACACACCCCGTGATGACATCGTGGACCCCCAGGGGTCCGCGGACCACAGGTTGAGAACCACCGGTATGGGGTCTCCTGCTTGAGCAGGGGGTTGGACTAAAAGACTTCCAAGGTCCCTTCCAACTCTATTATTCTATTATGATATGCGTCATCATTCTGGTATCACAGAGACCTATGGAAGGGTTTGGCTATGAATAATGTCGGTATTATAAGGTATTATTTCTCCAGAAATAAGATCTAAGATATTTCTGGAGAGACATCATTTGAAGATTTCTTCTCCATCTAAGATAGGAGTGGAAATCTGAGCCATCTTGCCATCCCAATCTCTCTTTCGAAATGCTCTAATCTCCATCTGAATGCAAATTGCCAAAAAATAAGAGGAATGTTTTCTTGTCATTCGGAGGTAGGAAAGTCACAAAGCGTACAGCATGAGCCTACAACTGCAGATAGTCCTCAACTTACGACCACATTTGGGACCAGAATTTCCATTGCTAAGGCGGCTGTTAATTGAGTCACACCCAATTTTATGACTCTTTTTTTTTTTTGCCATGGTTGCTAAGCAAATCACTGCAGTTGTTAAGTGAGTCTGGCAGTTGTTAAGCGAATCCAGCTTCCCCCATTGACTTTGCTTGTCAAAAGCTGGCTGGGAAGGTCACAAAGGGTGAACAAATGACTGCGAGACACCGTAATCTAATTAGAAATACATGCTGGTTGCCAAGCACCCAACTGTTGATCACCTGACTGTGGAGATGCTGCAGTGGTCATAAGTGTGAGGATTGGTTATAAGTCACTTTTGTCAACATTTAACGGTCACTAAATGAATGGTTGTTAAGTTGAGGACTACCTGTACCTATAAAAGCAAAACAAATATCAGATTAACAGCAAAACCGAAAGAAAAATCCCCAAGAAATAAGAGGATACTTTTGATTCTATCCATCTTGACCAACTCTGCATCACTCATCCTTCATCCTTCATCCTTCCCCGCTCCCCAAAATACATGTTAAATGAAGTGGCCTTTGCTATTGACTCAAATAATGCCCACCTAAGATGTAAGAGGAGAACATTTCCGTGTCATGATTCCGATAGATGAGACCAGTAGAAATAAGAACTCCGAGGCAATTGCTTTCCTCAAAGAATATATTTAATATATTTAATGGCTACATAGTATCAGCAAAGGGGAAACCAAGACTGAAAGTTCCCCCCGCAGGTTACAAAGTAACAAGTTGAACTTCCCACCCCTAATTATGTCATAAATCACAATCCCCAATTAACTATTTTGACGGGCTTTCTAACAGAAGCCACAGCCCGCCAAAACTTAGGTAGCGTGACCTTGGTTCCCACAGAACAGTTATTGTTATGTCTAAACGAAAAGAATACATCTCCCTCCTCCCATTGCCGTGGCAACCGAAAATGAAATGAAGATGGCTGCAGCCAAGTTCGTTTGAAAGTTGACAGCTAGAGTAACAACTCTTAGGATACCCAAAGATGCTCTTTCATGAGGAAACTGGACTTTCTTGTTTTTCTTTGAAGACTGTGTCTGCATTTAAAAGACAAAGGCCACTCTTTGAAAGACAGCAAGGTCCACATTTTGGACAGAGAGGGCCGCTGGTTTGAAAGAGGGGTCAAAGAGGCCATCTGTGTCAAAATTGAACAGCCATCTCTCAACAGAGGGGGAGGGATCCGGTCTATCTCCAGTCTACAACACGGTCCTTTCAGCAATTCCAAGAAGGATCCACACCCACTTGCACTACTTAGGTGACCCTGAGGTAAACTTCCAAATGGCCTCAACGACTCTCTAAATAAAAGAATGCAAACCACCAGATGTCTGCAAGGAGTATAAATCCTTCCATTCCCCACCATCCAGTCAGAGTGGAAGAAGCTTCTTGGATGAGAAGCGAAAGAAAAACAACAAAGTCCAGTTCCCACATGAAAAAGCACATTTGGGAGAACTACTGTAAGTCCTGGATGACTGAGAATCTCCATAGAAATTCTTAGGATAATAATCCCTGCCATTTTTTAAAAATAAAAGTGAAAGCAAGTATGCCTGGCTTCAGATGCATCTGATGAGTATAGCCTCTTTTAAAATTAGATACTCAGATATGGATTACCTAGTTTTGTTTTAAAAAATATAGCCTCCCGGATATAAATATATTTCTTTCTGGCTCTTACGGGCTGTGTACTTACACATTCTGTCGCCGTAATGGTTAAAGAGCTGGAAATGAGCGATTGCCCTTGATTCAAACTAACGAAGACATCCATAGTTCTGAAAGAAAAGAAGAAGAAAACACAACATTTAATAGTATGCTTATATAGTGGATTGACCAGATATAGTTAAAACAGAGAATGTGACATTTGAGCCAATGGTGTTCACTGGTTTGCTAAACAGCTCAAAGCAAAAATTCAGAATTAAACTACAGGCAGTCCTCGACTTACAGCCACAATTGAACACAACATGTTTATTGCTAAGAGAGACAGTTGTTAAGTGAATTAAGGAGGCAGATTGTTCCACTGGTTAATTTTTCTCAGTGTCAGGAAGTTTCTCCTTAGTTCTAGGTTGCTCCTCTCCTTGATTAATTTCCATCCGTTGCTTCTTGTCCTGCCTTCAGGTACTTTGGAGAATAGCTTGACTCCCTCTTCTTTGGGGCAGCCCCTGAGATATTGGAACACTGCTATCATGTCATCCTTGTCCTTCTCTTCATTAAACTAGACATACCCAATTCCAGCAACTGTTCTTTATATGTTTTAGCCTCCAGACCCCTAATCATCTTTGTTGCTCTTCTCTGCCCTCTTTTCTAGAGTCTCAACATTGTTTAACATTGTGGCGACCAAAACTGGATGCACCATTCCAAGCGTGGTCTTACCAGGGCATTATAAAGTGAGTTGAGTGGATATAGATACATATTCTTGGTCCCTATTCAAGAGACCCAGTATCAACGCTTTGTACTGGATCTGGAAACAGACTGTAGACCAAGTTACAGTTAAGAAATATTCAGTGGTAGAAAGGCAGTACCAGCAACTCATCCTCCTAGCCAATGGCCCAATGAGACCCAAAACCCTGGACTCAACTTAACTTACAAAAGACTTATGTGGCCAATATTGGTATCAACAGAAAACCATAACCACGAATCCTAGCTCAACTGTCCTCCCAGGAGCATAGAAGTAGTAAAAATAACTATCTGAAAAAAAAGATTCGAGTGGTCAATCCAACTGTCAGTTCTTGAGATGTGAAGAATTACATGGATTCACTCATGTCCATAAAAATGTCAGGACTGGCAATAAACACACTAATTACCACGCCAACAACATAGAAATAGCATAAAGGCCCCTAATTAGGACTTGGTGGGGCTTTCTACAAAAGAGAAATTAGGCAGCAGAGAAACATAAATAGGAAAGTGGTTTCTTCTTTCTTCAAATAACTTTGGGAAAACCCAAACACATGTTAAGGATTAGAGATCAGCTGCTCCTGGTCTGAATTAGAACAGCCTCAGCAAGTTTCCTTATATGCTTATCTTTCAGCTGGAAGAGTCAGATTTTCACAGATGTTTGTGGATTTACGGTCCCAGGAGCATTTTATTTATTTATTTTTATTTTTATTTTTTTTATATAAAAGTTTTTATTGGGTTTTATGGGGTTAGGGAAGGGATCACACCCATCAGATATGGTAGTAAGTACTTGGCCTTTGTTTACATTTCCAGCAATTATTTGAAGTATTTTTAAACATTTTGGCTAATCTTACTGGTGTCATAGGCCATCTACTGTATAAAACATTTTATACAAATTTTCTTTATATGAAACTGCTTTCGTCAATTTAATATTTCTATCCCCTAATTTTTGCCACTCTTCCAAATCAATAGAATATCCAAAGTTTTTTGCCCCTGTTATCATTGTTTCTTTTGCTTGTTCTTCTTCCATCTTCAAGTTTAGTAGAAATCTGTAAAGCTTCTTAATCAGGTTTTCATCTGTTTTTAATAATATTTGATCAAATTTCCGTCTGTTCTTTATAAAATGATTAAGGCTGAACCACGACCTTTCTTGAACCCGTTCTGCCAGCTGTATGACAGTTTATCTCAACTATCCTTTATGTCAGTGTTTCTCGAGCCTGGCCGTTTGAAGACAGGTGGACTTCAGCTCCCAGAATTCCCCAGCGACTTAACAAATGTCTCACTTAGCAACATAAATATTGGGCTAAATTGTGGTCATAAGTCAAGGACTCACTCTATTCAGGATTGTAGATTTCTCATAATTGAAAGATAGATCAGAACAGACCTAAAATATCCCCTAAAGATTTATTTCTAAAACATATATGGAAACATACTTATTTTCAGAACATTTGTGAAATTCACCTGCAACGCTATGCATTAACGGGCGAACGTCAGAATCTGCCCTTCTTTTTTCAACATTAATTATTCTCATGTCCAAGTGTTATGTGCTTGGGTATTTAATTGACAAAAATCCTCATTCAGACTGGGCTTTTAAGCATTCATTTAGTGACCGTTCAAAGTTACAACAGCACTGGAAAAGTGACTTGTGACCTTTTCCCATATTTACAACTGTTGCAGCATCCCCAGGGTTAGATGACCAAAATTCAATTGCTTGGCAACTGACTTACATTTATGACGGTTGCAGAGTCCCGGGGTCATGTGATCGCCTTTTGCGACCTTCTGACAAGCAAAGTCGACGGGGAAGCCAGATTGACTTAACAACCGTGTTACTAACTTAACCACTACAGCAGAGGTCTTCAAACTTGGCCCTTTTATGACTTGTGGACTTCAACTCCCAGAATTCCTCAGCTGGGGTGTCTGGCTGAGGAATTCTGGGAGTTGAAGTCCACAAGTCATAAAAGGGCCAAGTTTGAAGACCCCTGCTCTAAGCCCATCAGGTTTTTAACACTGTATACAGCAGAGGTCTTCAAACCTGGCCCTTTTATGACTTATGGACTTCAACTCCCAGAATTCCTCAGGAGTTGAAGTCCACAAGTCATAAAAGGGCCAGGTTTGAAGACCTCTACACAACAGCGATTCCCTTAACAACTGTGGCAAGAAATTGGTCAAAACTCACTTAACAAATGTTTCGCTTAGCAACTTAAATGTGGGGCTCAGTTGTGGTTGTGAGCTCAGGACTACTAGTATAGGCTCAAATAGCCCAGGGTGCGCACTCTTGAGACAAACCAGAGTTTTACATTGGGCATGACTGGGGCAGGTTTGGAACACTCAATAACGTATGAATGGGTGCCAGGCTAATACAGGCACTACCCAAATGTTTACTGCTTTTGAGACAGCAATAAGGGCCATTTATTGCTCTCTGTGTCAACTTTCTCTGTGGCACTATAATTCACTGTACTAGACTGCTTCTCCTAAATAACCAACAAAGAACACTAAAACAAATGAGTCCTCCTCAGATCAGGCCAAGCTTTGCTAAGCATGCCCTGCTGACCTGGCACCCCAATGAAATGAGCGACGAGGGGGTCTCTTCCCAGGCCAAACTATTATGCCAACGCTCTCGATATCTCAACCATCCAGTAATCGGAAGCCCCAAAGCACAACACCCCACATGGACAAGCCAGTGTGCATTTGTTAGCGCCGCTCGCCAGATCTGACCCGCCCACCCCCTGAACACTAAGTGCAGAAAGCAATAACGATAGTTTTCATATAGTTTTGAAAGTTTTATTTCAGAGTGGCGCCCTTTCCGTGCTGATTTAATCGACACAATGGAGGATCTTTGCTAGATAATTTGGAGGCGCTGTGTTGATTTTCTACATCTCTCCTGCTCTCTCCAGGAAATATTTCAAACATTTGTTGGGGTGAAAGCTCTGATGACCTCCAGCTGGAAGATTTAATGCTCTCTAAGGATCTGCCATTCCCACTCTTTTCATTTCTTTCTGTCGAGAAAATGAAGCAGCTGGAGGTGTTTGATCCCTCCCTATTTCTAACATTTGGATGAGACTTTTGAGTTACATCTTGAGGCAGGAATAGCCAACACTCCAGAAGACAGGCTTAAGATACAGGAGGACCTGGACAGACTTGAACACTGGGCGCTATCTAATAAAATGAAATTCAGTGGTGAATAAAGTAAGGTTCTACATTTAGGCAAGAAAAACCAAATGTACAGGTATAGTATAGGGGGTACCTTGCTCAATAATAGTAACTGTGAGAGGGATCTCGGAGTCCTAGTGGACAATCACTTAAATATGAGCCAGCAGTGTGCTGCAGGTGCCAAAAAAGCCAACACAGTGCTTGGCTGCATTAACAGAGGGATATATTATTATTATTATTATTATTATTCATCGCACAGTCAGTCAGATGTTCAGACTGGATTTGGCATTTTGTCTACCTATTGAGTCCTTTCCCAGGACCTGGGATAGGCAGATGTGGATGTTTGATGGTATTACAGATATCGTCGCAGGATGGAAGCAGTTCCTAGTATTATTATTATTATTATTATTATTATTATTATTATTATTATTATTATTATTATTATTATTATTATTAAGCTGGACGGCTGTTGAATGTCAAGCGCTCTCCAAATTTCAAACCTCCAAATCAAATTAGGCCCATATCAGGGCTCTCCAAACTTGGCAACTTTTAAGACTTGTGGACTTCAACTCCCAGAATTCCCCAGCCAGCATGGAATAATGATTAGTTATTATTAATAAGACTTAGCACGCAGTTGAGAGATCCTTGGATGGCTGGAAGAATATCTGAGATAATTTGGGAAAGCAAAGGAAACAATGAAGGTGAAAACTAATCGCACTCACGTCACAAGCACACAGGCGGTCCTTGAGCCCAAAGTTTCTGTTGCTAATAATAATAATAATAATAATAATAATAATTTAATTTGTACCCCGCCCTTGTCCTCATAGGACTCAGGGCGGCTAACAGCTAAGGGAGACAGCTGTTAAGGGAGTCTTGCCCCATTTCACGAAGGTCGCAAAAGCGAGGCCGGGACAAAGCAATTCTCACTGGCCTCTTCTTGTGATCCTGGCTGTTTATGCAGCCTTTTCCCCACCCTTAAAAAAAATTGGGTTTTTTTCCCCAACACTCAACAATAGCACAGCTGTCCTTCTGTCTAGCAGAGATCTCAAACCTGCAATTTGGCCAAAAAGAAATGCGGAAGGCTCTCCAAATCCTGGGCTCAACTACAGAGAGTCCTTGAGTTACAGCCGTTCACTTAGTGGCCGAAGTTATAACAGCACTGAAAAAAAAAGGGACTTATGAATATTTTTCTCAGGACCGTTGCGGCGTCCCCGTGGTCACGTGATCAAAC